CTAGGTAGGAGGGCGGCAGCAGCAGCCATGGCTGCCCAATCATGGTGGCCACAAGCCGGCCAAGGTGCGGGAGCGGCACACGGCCCAGTGGGGAGTCCAGCCCACAAGAGCAGACCGGCCAGAGGCCCAGGTGGGGCGCGCGGCTAGAGGCCTAGGCGGTGCACGGCCAGCAGCGACCGGCCGCCCCAACACGCGGACGCAAGCAGTCCAGCAAGCCGGCCCACGCGGCATGCCCCAAACCGGCCTAGCAATTTATGCAAAAAGGACCCTACATTTTCTCAAAATTAACCCACAGTCCAACATGTACTATTCGTATGAGTCACGTATTTCGCAATAAGAACCCGGTATTAGTTTCGATTCACCTTTCTCACCTTCTCCTCTTCCTCAAAACAGAGCACCGACAGGGGAGGCCATATCTGTGCCAAGGGAGCGGCTTTCGCTTGCATGGGTGTTGTCGGGTCGGCATGCTGGCGCCGCACGAGGGTGTTGGCGGCATGGCGGGACAGCCAAAACGGCCGCGAAGGCCAGGGCCGTTAAAGCGCCATGGCTCTGAGACAGCCAGGGGGAACTGCGGTCTAGTCATGCGCATGCAACAAATTTCGGCGGCCAAGGCTGAGGTGGTGGTCGCGAGCATGCATGGCTTTCGGGTCGGCGGCGGGCCGTGGGGCACGGCAGCACGCTGTGGGACGCATGCATGGCATGGGACAACATGGCAAGCGGCCTTTCACGTGCGCCTGGCCAGCAGGCACTGATCAGGCGGACCGTGGCCGCACGCACCAGTGGGCGGTGCCGTGGAGGCGAGGCAAACATGAAAGGTCCTAATATGGCTAGAGTGGGGGTGAATAGCCTATTTAAAAAACTACAAATCAACTAGAGCAATTTGATTAGTAAGACAAATAGCGAAATGCAAACTTGCTCTAGCTCTACAAGGGTTGCAAGCCACCTATCCAACAATTCTAGTTGCAATGATCTATTGGCACACAATCTACTTGACCACTACTCACTAAGAGCTCTCACAAATGCTACACTAAAGAGCTCCACTATATATGTTTAAAGCACAAGGCAAGCTCTCAATTATAATTACACTAAAGAGCTTGCTATATCTAGTTTCTTGGAAATGTAAATGAGTAAGTGAGACGATTATACCACGCGGTCGTGTGGAGTGAACCAATTACGATGAATATATAGCCAATCACCGGAGAATGCAAATGACAAGAGACAACCGATTTTCTCCCGGCACGCACCTTACCAACACGCTAGTCCCTCACAGGTGTCGACCAACACTTGGTGGTTCGGCTAAGAGGTGTTTCACAAACTCGTCCACACGATAGACACAAAGAAGAACCGACCCACAAGTGAGGTAACTCAATGACACGAGCAATTTACTAGAGTTACCTTTCGGCACTCACGGGAAAGTACAACTCCCCTCACAATCACCGAAGGCGGCCACGAACAATCACCAACTCGTGCGATCCTTCACCGTTGCTCCAACCGCTGGGTGGTGGCAACCACCAAGAGAAAACAAGCGAAATCATGATGGCGCGAATACCAAGTGCCTCTAGATGCAATCACTCAAGCAATGCGACTTGGTTCTCTCCCAATCTCACAATGATGATGGATCAATGATGGAGATGAGTGGGGAGGGCTTTGGCTAAGCTCACAAAGTTGCTATGTCAATGAAAATGTGCAAGAGTTGTCCCTTGAGCTAGAGGAGCCCCATCAAATAGAGCCGTTGGCCCTTTCACAAAACGCTCGACAAGAGGAACGCGAGGAGCCCGATCGGACGCTGGCCCTCGGTCCGGTCAGCCGATGATGCACGCGCACCAAATTCAAATGATGTTCGCTCAGGCGAAGGCGGACGCTCCGGTCAAAAGCGAGGCAGCCCTAGCGTCCGGTCGTTTCAATAAGCTCCCCGAGGCAGCGGGACGCGTCGCCACTTGGACGCAGAGCGGTCCGGTGCTCAACTCTCTACTCATCATCAGGTCGGCGATTTCGGCCGGCGGCAGCGTCCGGTCATTGAGGACTCAAATGTCCGGTCGATGAACCGGCCAAAGATCATTTCGACCAACTCTATTTCAACTCTAACTTCTTCACCCTTGCTCAAATGTGCCAACCACCAAGAATTTTACATCCAAGGTAATAGAAAATAGACATTTCATTTTTCCAAAAGCACCGATCTCAACCGAGTGCACATGTGTTAGCATATTTTCACAAATATTTTCAAGGACGAGCAAGCAAATGCATATGCAATGAGTTAGAGCATCTAGTGGCACTTTGATAACTTGGCCACTCCTCTTAATAGTACGGCCAATCCTAAATGTGATCACGCACTAAGTGTCTTGATCACTAAAACAAAATGGCTCCTACATTTTATACCTTTGCCTTGAGCCTTTTGTTTTTCTCTTTCTTCTTTTCCAAGTTCAAGCATTTGATCATCACCATGCTATCACCATTGTCATGATCTTCGCCAATCACTTAGAGCTACCTATCTCGTATCTTGATAAAGTAGGTTAGCATGGGTTTCATCGATTCAACTTAGCAAGAGCTTTCACGAAGAATCGGGCGGGCCGGGCTGACCTTTGGCACGGGCATAGGGGGATTGAGTGCGCCTCGAGGAAAGACCGATGACCGCGAGGTGGTCCCAGCGCTCTGAAGACAAGCGGACAAGAGAACGCGAGAGCGGCGGCTCGGGAGCCGGATCGCAAGCGCTCTGGGGGCCTCGGCGGGCGCGGCGATATCTAGCAAGCCCTCGTACACGGCGACGTGGTCCGACAACGCGACGCGACGCTAATAATTCGGATGATGGATTGATTAACGCACCACCGTATTCAAGCGGCCAGAACGACAATGGGGCAAGGGCAAGCGAGCGGCGTGGTGCATGGACGACCTCAATAACGCGAGGACACAGCACGCAAAGATAATAACACATGGACGTCGGCGTGGTTATCTAGCAAGCCCTCGTACGGCGCGTGCGTCCGACACGCGAGCGACGCTAATAATTCGGATGATGGATTGATTAACGCACCGACGGCGATGTGAACAACGATTTGCTTATAAAAAATTGTTTTTCACGCTTAATCAAATGAACAAGCCATTCGCCCTTTTATTTGCTACGAGACATACATAAGTCAAAATTTTAAAATCCGAGAAAATCGTTCGGAAATTTTTCTTATGCCTAAATCACGGTGCTAAACGAGCTCGTAACACCAGAGGTGTTACAGTTGTACTGTGGGTTCAGGCAGATGAAGGAGCTGGCGGGCGTGGTGAATCTAGGTGGAGATCCGCCTCACGCTGTCGAGGTATGTCCCCATCCTCGATCTTCACCTCATCGTGTTGTGGGTCGAGGCAGATGAAGGAGCACGCGAGCATAGTGAATCTAGGCGAAGATCCGCCTCCACGCCATCGAGGTATGCCGGCGTCCTCGATCCCCACCTTGACGTGTTGTGGCATGTGGGTCGAGGTAGATGAAGGAGGAGACATGCATAGTGAATCTAGGCGGAGATTCGCCTCCATGTTGTCGAGGTATGTCACCGTCGTCGATCTCAATCTCATCGTGCTGTGGGTCAAGGCAGATGAAGGAATAGGCGGGTGGGCACGGTGAATCTAGGCGGAGATCTGCCTACACGCCGTCGAGGTATACCGTCGTCCTCAATTTCCATCTCATCGCGTTGTGGGTCAAGGCCGATGAAGGAACGGGCAGACGGCATAGTGAATCTAGGCCGAGATCCGCCTCCACGTTGTTGAGGTATGTTGTTGTCCTCGATTTTCACCTCGTCGTGTTATGGGTTGAGGCTGATGAGAAACCATACGGGCATGATGAATCTGGGTAGAGACTCGCCTCCACACCTTTGAGGTATGCACCAAGCTCCTCTTCCCCATCCTCTCTCTCTCTCTCTCTCTTTTGAAAATCTTCCCCCATCCTCTTTTCTCTTGTGTCTCCCTTCTCTTTTTTTTTCCTTTGCCTCCAATCCCCGTTATTTCTCTCTCTCTCTCTCTCTCTCTCTCTCTCTTCCACTTCACCCCTCTCATCCATACTCTCTTCTATCTTTTGGCATCTCACCTCTCTCCTTCCCTCATCATGGAAATCTATCAGGAGGTGGTGGATGGGGCAGGGTTATGTACGAGTACGAGGGCTGACAGAGCGAGTCCGTGACCTCATCCTCGTCCTCCACCTCGTCGTTCGGTGGGTCGAGGCAGATGATAGGGGAGGCGGGCATGGGAGATATGGACAAGGATTTGCCCCGTCCTGATGCACTGCCAAGCTCCTCTTCTTCCTCCTCGTTCCTTTCTCTTCTTTTTCTCTCCTAGGTCCACGCTCAACGTGAAATGTGGTTGTGGTTGCGCTGCGCCAAAAAAAAAAAGAGGAGAGGGAGGATCGCAGTCCACGATTGGAAAGGAGGGTGGTTTTATTGGTAGAGCTTTTGCTAATCCGCTAGAGTTGCTCTAGTCTACTGGTTGTTGCTCTGACCTTAGTTGACTAACACGCTCGAGTTACATTTGAGGCCCTACTACCCTAGACTGATGGATCAAAGAAAGGGTTGGGGCTCTGCTATTGGAAGTAGCCATTCATGCTGGCAGAGTGGCAGAAGGGTGGACGAAAAAATGAGACCAGGATACCCTGGCCATCAGTCCAAAAATGCCTATTTTCTAATTCTACTGAAGGGATTCTCCCCAAAACGAAGAGCCAGCAGAAATTGCACTGAAAACACAAGGGGGCCCTGTAGATCACCATATCGCAGCTCACACATTGTGTTAACCACAGGAGTCAAAACCAGGTGAATTACACACAGCACTACTCTACACGAACGCCACCACTCAACTGTGCACCTTGTCTTTCTTTCTTTCTTCTTCTCGACTGGTATGCATGCATGAACTCACTCTATACCAACCAAGCACTACACGATGGATGGTGGAACTGTTACCACCGTCTCTATGAACAGCTAGTGTACTTACAGCACCACCGGAGCAACGCCCCGCCTCCTCAGAGGTTCTTCGCGATCTCAGGCTTTCCAGCCCCACCACACGATGTTCCGGCAGCCGAACCCGAACTCCCAGAGCCTCCTCCTAAGCGACCCTTTCTTGGCGCGCTTGGTGCCTGGCTCCGAGGCCGAGCCGCGGTAGTGCAGCAGCGGGGGCTGCGGCGGGCCGGTTCCAACGCTGTCCACGATCTTCTGGACCATGTCGTACACCTCGCTCATCTTGGGGCGGGACTTGGGCATCCGGACCAGGCACCGGTTCGCGACGCTGGACAGCTTCGTCATGGACTTGAGGTTGTAGTGCCCCTCCAGCCGTGGGTCGACGATGATGGGGAACCGCTTCACGTCAGAGATGTACGGCTTCACCCAGTCCAGAAGCTTCTGCTCGCTCTTTGGACGGTTCCGGTCGATGGGGCGGCGGCCTGTGATGAGCTCGTACAGAAGGACGCCGTAGCTCCATATGTCGCTCTTCGCAGTGAGGCGTCCAGTCTGCATGTACTCTGGAGCTGCATAGCCTAGAGTTCCAACTACCTGTTCAAAATGAACCATAACAACAGAGGATGATAGTTAGATGGATGTTAACTTCAGACTGCTCTAGGAACTAACTAGTGAAATGGTATAGAGAGGACATAAACGTAAAACTATCAATAGCAAATTGTTATGGCAAAAGCAGTCTTTAATAACGTGCTGCTCTATTTGTTATCAAGAGGTGTACCAGGTCTTTCAAGACGCAGAGAGCTGTCTAGAAATACTATTGCTCTGGTCTTCCATTAAGCAATGAAATCCTACTTTCCTGATTTTTTTGGCTGCAGAAAACTTTTTTTCAATATATAATCAGTAGGGGGCAACCCCTCCTGTTTCCTAAAAAACTTGCAACAAACAGTTTAAAATTGAATTCTCATAATCTGCGATTAGAAAAAAAAAAAGAGGTGACTTCTGTAACCCCCCACCCCCACCCTCCCGAGTAATTTGGCTAGGAATACAGTGACATGGTACATTCTGAAGCTGGTCGAGAAATGAATATAGTACTTGCGATGTTTTCAAGTAATCAAACCTCTCTATTACTTCAATTCCATTCTCAAAATTTTTGACTCTGTTCTTCATGTCTGGTACTGAAACTCAATATATGCATTAAGAGGTTACTTGTGCAAGTAGTAAACAAAAATAATTCGTATCCAATTTCATTGCCACAAAAAGTCAACAATGTTATAGAATTACAACTCAAAGAGCTTACTAGTTGCCTATTTTTCTTCATCACAATTCTCTTTTATTCAAGCAATAACATATTTCATCACTTGAATACTGTCAGGATACTAGTACCTACTTACCAAAAGGATACAAAACACTATTCAATGGAAACACACTAATGTAATAAACTAACTGCGGGCTTGTAATTGTGCATACCGCTGTGGAGACATGGGTCAGACCTTCTGCTGGTCCATGCCTAGCCAAACCAAAGTCTGACAATTTAGCATCCCAGTTTTCATCCAACAAAATGTTAGATGTTTTCAGGTCTCGGAAAATAACCTGCATGAATATCTTAAATTTAGAGGGTAGATATAACTTATGGAACAGTTAAAGCATACTGCAACGTTTGGTATTTCATTTATTCTTGTGCGAGGTACAGATGCAGAGGGATGCTAATGTCCCACAGATGTTTCAGATTGTGCAAGTGTTATGGTCTCCATGATCATAAAGTAAATGAGTTACCTGGAATTCCATTTCTTCATGCAGATATTTCAGTCCCCGGGCAGAATCAAGAGCTACTTTTAGTCTCATTGGCCATGACAGAGTAGAAGTTGACCTACTCGACAAGTGATCATCCACACTTCCATTAGGCATATATTCATACACTAGAAGCCGTTGTACTCCCCTCTCATCATCAGCAGCACAGTAGCCTATTAGTTTAACTAGGTTTGGATGGTCCACAATTCCAAGCACATTCATCTCTGTTAACCACTCCTTCTGCCCCTGGAGAAAGATCATATTTTATTAGAATCAGTACAGGAAGCTAGACCTAGATTCCAGCATAAGTGACTTCAAAATGACTCATCAAGCATGTGGGATTGAAAGGATTTCAAGGTATGCTTGGCTTTCTATTTTGTCTACTAGCGTTTTCTACTTTTCTATATGGCAACAGTTGACTCACTAAACCTAGAACAATGAGCATGGAACTGTAAATGCAAGAAAAGTAAAATAAATTAGTGTGCCTTCCCTGAAGCAGGTGAACCTACTTGATGGTTTCTTTCCTGAAGAAATGATGACTGAAAATTTTTGGTTTATTTCCGCTATGCTGAGTTTGACAATACATAACTTGGTCCAAATAAGACTGCTGATAGATTTTCTACAGAATGACGATGGCAACAATAGCATTTGTATGGAGCTATACTTTAATAACTTCAAGAACATTCAACAGTAACCAGACTAGCTTGCTAGTTTTAAATGGTAGGGAATGTAAAGATGGTGAGAACTGGCAAAAACTACGGCAGCTTGTGTTGTAAACTCTAATTATTTTCTACCTGATACAAAGATACGCAGCTCTCATACATATTCTTGGGAAAAAAAAAAAAAGAAAAGATGGTGATAAACACTTGCCTGAAGTCCTTTACGATTCAACTGCTTAACAGCGATCTCAATTTGTTCACTCGGTTCGTCAGAGGTCTTGATGACACCCCTGTACACACAGCCAAAGCCACCCTCGCCAACCATGAGAGACCGGCTGAAGTTGCGTGTGGCACTCTTCAATTCAGCAAAGGAGAACACCCTCAGGTTAGACGGGCGGTCAGTGAAGCTGGGATACTGCGTCCTCCTTATTGACTCGGCACTCATGTCGGAAACATTCAAGGAGGTGAAGTCTGAACCGGAGCGTACATCGCGCTCAGTTGATGTTGTGCTCATGGACCGTACAGAGGCCGACTTAGTGACAGGATCCTTCTCTTTGGCGTCTCCATGCAAGAAAGGCAGGCACCTCATTGCTGCAATGCAGTGGGAATCAATTAGTGCTTCCCCTCGCAAAACACAAATGTAGATTACATAATTGGGGTCATGCAAAATAATGTTTCGGCAACAGGTGGTGTGGGACAAGAACAGGCAACCAAGTTCAGATTTTTTTTTTTCAGATGGTAAAAATGCTTGGAATTTTTTAGATGCAGCAAGTGGAGATAAATTGACATGATTACTAGTACTCCGCAAACGAATGAAAGCTGAAGTGAGAACCTAATTGGCTCTGTAGGCAGCGACCATGGCTGTTCAACTGTAACAAATTTGATAAAAAAGGGGGGAGAGCCTTTAATCAGTACAAAGCCCAAAGAAACCTCAAATTCAGACAGCGCCGGGCCAAAAACCACGCCTTTAATTTGGACTGAGGTAGCAGAATCTATGCGCAAGAGTTCGGCAACAGTGACGAGGAGAGCAGCGCAAGACAGCAGGCACGAGGGGAGCGCAATAGCATCAGTCATGAAACAACCCTAAGACTAAGAATCAAACCAGGAACTACGAACAACCTTAAATCCCACCGAATCAACCTTAAATTAACCCCAAGCCTGGAAACGGCGCTTGATCTCCACGAAAACCAGTGAGAACGGACAGGACACGACGAAGCATAAGGAGAACTAGAGCAGAAAGCATGGAAAAAAAGAGAGGCCTTTACAGCAGCAGCAAACCTTGCCTATCTTGCGGCGGCGGGGCTGATCGATCCGGGGGGAGTGGAGACGCCCGGCCCGGCGGTGTCCCGTGGACGGAGGGGAGGTCCGATCCGGGACTCAGGGACAGGGAGCACACGGCAGCAGCAGCAGCACGGCGGTCAAAGCTGGGAGCTTGTCTGAAACGGGAAGAAAGGTGGCTTTCTCCTCCGCTCTGCCTCTCCTCTCCTCCTGCGAGGCTGAGGCTCGGGCTCCGCAGTGTCACCAACCAAGAAGCTGCGAGGCATAGACCATTCCTTCTGTTTTATAATATACTATATCACGGTGTTTGTTTAGGGATAATTGACTTTTTATCGTAGTAACGGATGACGTTCTCTCGAGAATAGCAGCTTTAGTTTTGACGCTATACTTTTAACATTAGAAAAAAAAATGATACATATTTACCACTTTTTTGCTCGTGTGGCACGTCAGTTCCGTTATCCAACTAAGATCCGAGTTAGCAGCCCCATGTGAAAAGTCAGTGATACCCTTTCCCTCATTACCGTAGATTAAAGAATGGATGGCTCAGGATAGCCGCAGACAGAAATATGTATACTTGTATTTTTAAGATATTTTATTTTTTTATTTTGCAAAGGAAAAAAGAACGTATATTACATCATCATGATGTCCACTGCTGTACAAACAGATAAGCAAGCAGGCAGTGCTACTCGCACCACACGCTCGCATCCAACGTCGCCGCTCCCTGTAGAAAACTCCGCCACCGTCGCCTGTACAGCATGCGCAGGTGCCGATCTCCTCTATCCCAGCCTAGATCCGGCGCTAGGGAATGCAGATCCGGTGTTCCGCCACCCTGGTCACCATGGAGGAAGCCACCGTAGTCGCCGATTCACGCCGTTTCCGGCGGAGTCAGGGGCTCGGGCGAGGCCCCTTCCCCATGGCGCGCTCAAGCCGGCGAGGGGGAGCGGCCCCCACCCTCGTCTGAGGAGGAGGATCCCGCGTCGCCGCGCTCGCGGTTGGGCCCGGCGTGGCCGTTCGGGAGGGATCGAGCGGAGGCCCCGTGCGGAACTCGGAACCAAGTCGGACGGAGGTCGGGACGACGGTTGGCGGCGTCACCGGCGTGCACTCGACGTCGGAGCATTGCAGCCGGCTGAGGCAGAGGAGGCGGGGCGGCAAGCTCCGGGGACGTCGATGGCGCGGTTGCTCGAGGCTTCGCCACGCGCGTGCGGGGGTAGGCGCGTCGGGGCGGAGCGGCGTGCCGCTATCGTCGGTGGAGAGCGGCTCCGTCTCCTCCTCAAGCCTGACATGGTGGAGGCCATGCTCCTGCGCGTGCTCCAGGTGCCGCCATGTTCGTCGCCGGCGTCGGGCGCGGCCGTGGACCTGCAGGCCGTGGCCCCGGCTGCCTCGCCCCCCACTTCCCCTATGTCTTGTCAGCCGCCGCCATGGACCCCATTGTCGGCCATGGTCGGAGTTCGAGCGAGGAAGGTATAGAGATAAAAGAAATACATGAGAGACAAAAATGTCATTTCTCGTGACCGATCTATGCTGTCAGATCGAGTTGACGTGTCACGTCAGCGAAAATGGCAAGAATGTATCAAATGCTCTTTCTTGATGGTAAATATGTAAGAGCACTTTTAAGAGTGCTATATGAAGAGGTGACATCCGTTATACGTCCTGTTTGCTTGGCTTATAAGTCGTACTTTTTCAGCCAACGAATAGTATTTTTCTCACAATAAATCAGTCAACATTACTTTTACATAGTTTATCAGGCAAAGCGAACATGACAATAATGATAAAAGTTAAATATCCCGTTTAAGTTAAATATCCCGTTTGTTTACGCTCAGATTTTCTTTTCCCTCACTTTGTCCGCGAACGCAGCACGCAGGTGAGAAGATGACGGGCGGACGGGTCGAGGACGGATGAAGGAGGAAGAATTCCTTCCTGGTCGTCACGAGGAGTAGAGATGAGGGTGACGGGAGGAGCACGAGGGCAGGGAGGTCAGAGATGGGAGATGGATCGCCGGACGCGACATTGCAGTCCGCTCTATCTGTCCGCGCCGCGCAGGCGCAGCACGAGAGAGAGAGCAGCCAACGTTGCAGGGTCACTGCTGCTTTTCCATTTCTTTTTGGCACGTTTCTGTAGGAAGCCTGCCTACCTTTTTTGGTTGTTGAGAAAAAGGCTACTAGTATAAAAAAATGTTTTTTGTGGCGGCAGCGTCAGGAATTAAGGGCGCGTTGAGTTCAAAAAATTTTGGTTTTATTCGTCACATCGAATTTTTGGACGTATGCATGGAGTATTAAATATAGACGAAAAAAACTATTTGCATAGTTGGATGAGAAATCGCGAGACGAAACTTTCGAATCATAATTAGTCTATAATTAAACACTAATTACCAAATACAAACGAAAATGCTACAGTAGCCAAACCCAAAAATTTCACAAACTAAACCTGCCCTAAACAACTGCTCCAACTAACGTCTTTGGCACGCCCTTCAAAGCAGCCGTTTACACGAAACCACACAACACCCATGGCACAACATGGCATCCGCACAATGTTAATCGCACTGTTTTTGGACTGGTTTGGCTTATAAGCCATGACTGAAAATATTGTTGACTGATTTGGTGTGAGAGAAAAATATTATTCGTTGGCTGATAAGCCATGGCTTATAAACATTGTACAAACCCTAAACATTTTTTTTTGAACTACATTTGGATAGCCTGACTAAACTTCAGTCCTAGTCACATCGAATGTTTGATACTAATTAGAAACGTTAGATATAGATTAATTATAAAACTAATAGCATAAGCCATGACTAATCCGTATGGCAAATCTATTAAACTTAATTAGTCCATGATTAACGAAAGCAAAGCTACAATAAACATAAGATAATCATAGATTACTTGGGCTTAATAAATTCGTCTCGCGAATTAGTCACGGCTTATACAATTAGTTTTATAATTAGCTCATATTTAGTCTTTCTAATTAACATCAGGCATTCCATATGATAGAGACTAAAGTTTAGTCATGCATGACACAAAAGGAAATAGTTCACCGGAGTTTTATCTGGCCATAAGATGCTTGAAATGTACTAGAGTAGTAGCACGTGGGATTCTAAATATAAAGGTTTGTTTGGTAGTTCTTCGCTTCGTGAGAATTAGATGGAGCGCTACCAACACGGCGATTTCATCACTCGCTCCTAGTGAAATCAAGACAGGTGGTTTGCTCTTTTCAAGCTAGCGACTTAGAGGGTGTTTGGTTTCCTGGACTAAATTTTAGTCTATGTCACATCGGACGTTCGGATGCTATTTATGAGAACTAAATATGAGTTAATTATAAAACTAATTACATAGATGGAGGCTAATTTACGAGACGAATTTATTAAGCCTAATTAATCTGCCATTAGCACATATTTACTGTAGCACAACATTGTCAAATCATGGACTAATTAGGCTTAAAAAATTCGTCTCGCAAATTAGCCACAATCTGTGTAATTAGTTATTTTTTTCGTCTATATTTAATACTTCATGCATGTGTCCAAACATCCGATGAGATAGGGACTAAAATTTTCCTGTAAAAACCAAACATCCCCTTAGCTAGCTGAAGTTGAGTTGAGAGAAGAAGCAAATGTATTTCACACACGGAGCTAGCCGTCATAGTTCGATGCAAGCCGCCAAACCGAATACTACATCACCCTTTTCTGAGCCAGATGTGGGTCTGCCGCACGCGTAGGCTGTTGCCCTACCGCCCGCAAAGGCACCAGATCGATCTGAGGAAACTGAGGGAAGGAGAGGCGAGAGGGGAAAAAACCTCTGCATGCGTGATGCAGAAAATCTCTCATGCAACATTGTTTTGCTGCCGTCCATGCGTCGTAACTCAACTTGATGAAGTGCTCTATTCAGCGGAAAGATAGGGCGGCAGCCGAGGCCAAGCAGGCGGCATGCAACCATGCGCGGCGCTGGCCAACAGATCAAAGATCAGACGACATACGATCGGTGTTGCACGGGATGTTTTTTGCATCACGAGTGCAGAGTAATTTTTTTCTTGGAGAGGGGATTTGCCTTGCCGTAGTCGTCATTATAGCTACACAGACCTCATGCAACACGAGCATCTCCAATAGATTAATAAAAAAGACTAGCTATATTTACTGATTTAGTTATTTTCTAAAATAGACTTGAAAAAAAATACTAGAGTACTCCAACAGACTCTGTAAAACTAAGAGGTTGAATGGCTGGTGAGGTAAGCTATTCAAAAGTAGAGAGCGAACGAGACGAGATGGAGAGCTACTAAATTTGGGTAGTTATTGAAGACATTTTTTTAATATGATTTGGCTCATCT